ATCCATTTTGTTAACACCAACAATTAGTTGTTTTACACCCAGTGTGTAAGCCAGAAGGGCATGCTCATGGGTCGGCCCATCCTTGGAGATACCTACTTCAAATTCACCAGCACCAGCAGCAACAATCAGAACAGCACAGTCAGCCTGAGATGTGCCTGTAATCATGTTTCTGATAAAGTCTCTGTGTCCTGGGGCATCAATGATGGTCACATAACACTTGCTGCTCTGGAATTTCCACAGGGAGATATCAATGGTGATAGCACGTTCACGTTCAGCTTTCAGTTCATCCAAGACCCAGGCATACTTGAAGGAGCCTTTTCCCATCTCAGCAGCCTCCTTCTCAAATTTTTCGATAGTTGGGATCGATTTGTCGATCCCACCACATTTGTAGATCAGATGGCCAGTAGTGGTAGACTTGCCCGAATCTACGTGTCCAATGACGACGATGTTGATGTGAGTCTTTTCCTTTCCCATTTTGGTTTAGGTTTAGCGATGGTTTTCACGACACCTGTGTTCTGGCGGCAAACCCGTTGCGAAAAAGCTAAATTTCACTATCTTGTATACAGACTTACCTTGGCTTACAATGGGGTTACATCCCAATAAACCCAACATAAGTTGAAAATATCAAGTTGAAAATGTATTTAAGAGATTAGGACCTATTGAACACCTTATCTTTGCCTATCCTACCTTAAATGTGCTCAGAACACTTATATTAGCCTACAGTAGAAGGGCAAAATCATCTAACACAAAACCTATTTTATAGTAAATAAGATGTTGAATATCTCATGTAACTTACTAAATACTGTAAGGGAAGTGAAAACAAGAATGACCATATGGATACCAAATAATTTTAAGTATATTGGTTGTTTATGCTTGTGACTGCATGGCTAACTGGGACATGCAGCTCCCTGCTGCTGCCAAGCACCTAGAAGTATTGTCCCCCCATTCTCTAGCCTGTGAGAAGACCAAAATCCAAACTTCAAAGCATGGTTTCTACTGAGGCGCCTGGCTGGCTTGGTCGGAAGAGCATGTGACTCCTACTCTTGGGGTCAGGAGTTCAATGTGGGGTGTAGGGATTACTTAAAGCTTAAAAAAGTACAGTTTCTACTGAATGCGTTTCAATTTCACACCTTTGTAAAGCTGAAAACTCCTAAGTCAAAACAGGCTAAGTCAGGGACTGTCTATACTTGGCAATAAAAGCAGAAGGCTAAGTAAGCACAGGACAGATACTAAGACTACTTAATGGCAGATGTTGGCTGGACCAAACAATGCATGAAAATGAGTGAAATCAAACCTAGATGGTGATAAAAGCCAGATTAATAAATCTGGACTTTATTTTGGAGATAATGCAATGCCACTGAAAGTTCTGAGCATGGAAGATATGATGGAAATTTTAAGGAAATTTTAATGTTATATAAAAATATTAAAGCAAAGAAGTATTATTTAGGTAAAGAAATTCTAATTACAGCAGCAGCTGAAATAGAAAGCAATACTGTAGATATGTGACATCTGGGCATGGCAAGAAATTCAAGTATGAAACAGACTATTTATGAGGCTGAAAAGTAAAAGTACCACAGTAAGGGAAGAAGACTAGAGATTGTGATGAGGCACTGAGTTCAAGAAATTTCCTGTAAATTTTTACATATATTTTTATATATTCCAATTGCCTCTATTCCTTTTTATATTATCATCACACAGGAGCATTCTGTATCTTTTCAAGTGGTTTTCTATCAGCAAGCAACATAAGAAGTATAATTACAAGAGGATATGATGTGCACTAACATTCCTACTCTGTATTTAGATAAATGATAGAGATTAAAGGCATCTTTGCTTTGGAAATCAGAGCCAGCAAATGATCTTCATACTGAAGACAGTCAAAAGGATTAATCAAAAACCGCATGAGTGAAATAGGTGAAAAGGATTAAGAGTACATTTATTGTGATGAGCACTGAGTACTGTACAGAACTGCTGAATCACTACAGTGTACATCTGAAATATAACACTGTATGTTAATCATACAATTTTTTAAAATTTCTTATAGAAAAGAATCATCAGTTCTAGCAATTTGCCATTTATTTAGGGAGGCAGTAGTAGCTTACATGCAGCAATTTGAGAACAATTAAATTAGATACCATCAATATTGTAGGAGATGGAAAAGATTTAATGCAAATGTGAAACTAAATGGTGCGCAGCAGCGGATTCTTTCAATTCTTAAATTCACTAATTCAAATGTAACTAATTTAGGTTGTCTAAAAAACTGAAGATGAAAACTGCTAACCAAAGAACCCTCACTAAATGACTATGAAGGGATATCCTGGGCACTACTAAGAATAGAGACCAGGAGGTACCAAATTCTAGGCCAGTGATTCTATTAACATTTCACGACTAACACGATTCTGGAGTTTATGGTTTAATTTTTGGGGGTACATTATATCTCACAGGAGAGTTAATACTTCATTTTAATATTAATGTTTTACTGGGATCCCTGGGTGGCTCAGCAGTTTAGCACCTGCCTTCTGCTCAGGGCATGATCCTGGAGTCCCGGGATCTAGTCCCTTGAGTCCCACGTCGGGCTCCCTGCATGGAGCCTGCTTCTCCCTCTGCTTGTGTCTATGCCTCTCTCTCTCTCTCTCTCTCTCTCTCTCTCTCTCTGTATCTCTCATGAATAAGTAAATATAATCTTTAAAAAAATACACTGTTTTACTGAATGACTACTGAAAAGCTTCAAACTAGAATAAAGCTAAGAAGATTTAGTGCATTCTAATACAGTTCTAAAATATTTTCCTTCCAACTCTGAAGTGGCCTGTTAAACAGCTAATCTAAATTTTCAATGAAGTATTCTTTTTTCCTGACCCACACAAAAAGATATAACCATACCCTAAAAATAAGGACCTACAGTAGTTCTCACCTTGAGACATCTAACTCAGAAACAAATTTAGCTCAACAATTAGCAGTATACAATCATTACAAAATTAACATCTTAGGCTAAAGTTTTTGTAAAGATCTAGATAATTTTTTTTAAGATTTTATTTGAGAGACAGCAAGGAAGAGAGCAGGGGGAGGGGCAGAGGGAGAATGGAGCCTGACTTGTGGTTCAATCTCATGACCCTGAGACCATGACCTGAACAAAAATCAAGAGTCAGATGCTCAACTGACTGAGCCACCCAAGAACCCCAAGAAACTTTTTAAAAACTTTTTCAGATTTTTCTCTCACACTTTCTCTAAGGTATGTCTTAAATTTATCTTTCCAAAATAAAATGAATTCTGATTTTTTTTTGTTTCACTTGACAGTATTTCAGTAGGTTTTGTCTTAGTATCTAATGTCTCTTAAAAACAAAATCCACAAGTTAACAACTATCATAAGCCAACAGATTTCATAGATATTATCCTTTCATTTATAAAGATTTAGTCCTCTAGCTTAGGGACTCCAGCAAGGGCACACAATTTCCTAAAAATAATTTTAAGATCGAAGACTAGTTGAGTTAGGTAATATAACTATTATTATTGGCAGGACTTTAACATGGACTATAAGGATCCTTACAGGATTTAGGGATTTAGATGTGCTTTAGGGAAGTCCATAAACTCACTGAAATAATGCAAAAATTGGAATACCAAATGCAAACCGTTTTTTTTTTTTCCAGGCACAAAAAACATAGCTCTCATTTTTCAAAAGATACAGGACCACTCCTCATAGCCCAAATTAAGAACCAATGAAGAAAAGAGCACCTAAATTTGTGAATAGAGATACAAATAAAAACATTTTAGTATGGTTTTTGTTCATTTTTATCATTTTATCATCCCTAACTAGCCATAAAAGAGCCATTTTGTTAAAACAGAATATTGTTGATTATTTTTTAAATTAAACCACTATTCTTTAAACCCTTTTCTGTTGCCATTACAATTTCTTACAGCATTGGTAAGTAGCCTTCTCTTAGTTTAAGAATATTACCTTTCTGAAAACACGGGAACAAAGTGTGCTGGCCACTTGTAAGTTGATTTCATAAAAGAAGAATAGCTTTTTTTGTATTATTTGGTATTTTTTAGTCAATTAGACTCAGAAAATTTGTTTTTGGCATTCTAGGTAATAATACAACATCCCAATGTAACTATTACTTTAAGACCCTTATTTTAACAAGGACAGACACTTGATGTATGCACTATTATTGGGCTATTGCAAATCAGTCTATAGTAAATGAAGCCCAGCTACCCCTCAGTTTGACCGTTCAATTACTATGAATTATGTGTAGTGTTGTATTCTTTATTACTGGACTCCAACAACTTTCAAAATACTAGCTGAATGTGAAATTAAGCAAAAGAGACCTAAAACCGGGGTCTGTGCCATTCTCTAAGACATACAAAACAAGTGGATGGTAGCAAAAGCAGAGTTAAATCGGCACTGTGCTTCTGGACCCTCTCAAAAACCCGATCAAGCTTTAAACCTCATGAATAAATTACAATTCCGCCAGGTCTTCCTTCTCTGAACAGAAAAGTATATACTTCCTCTATAATGGTTATGGCCTTCCAGTTTATCCCATTCTGACCCCCTTGGGCTTTTAAATTTAGTAAATTTTAAAAGAAAATTAAATCTGTTAGCTTGGAGCCTACAAGTTTCTGTGTATTCACATATGAAATTCAAACAGGGAAGATCAAAAAACCGTCACTGATAAGAACCAAAGAAAAGTCTTTTATACGGTATGTAAGCTTCTTTTGCTCATTCTTTCACCTATTCAGTTAAACATTAGGTCCTACTGTGTTGCCCAGCTGTGGGGATTCACAGAAAATAAAACACAGTTCCAATTCTCAAGAGAGTTTATCAGGAAGATTTCAAATTTCTAATGTTGGTTAAAAGAACACACAAAGATTGCAGCCCTACTTGAACATTCCACGAACTCAAAAAGTCAATACTAAAGGTAGTCAGAGGCAACTTCTGCTCATCCTGAGCATCCGTAGAAATCTTTCTGCAGTACTTATCATCCATACCACAAGAAAACAGATGGGAATAATTTTTATCCTTTACTTAGGATATTTATTGAGTACATGTTATAATAACACTCTACACTTAAAGGAAAAAAACAATTACCTGACTTTAAGTCTAAACAATATACTACTCTTTTAGCAGACAACAGGAATTTCCCTCCTTTATTAAGTTCTTATTTTAGGATGTGTCATTTTGTACTCCTCATAAAAGGCATGGCATTAAAATAACAAAAAGGATGAGTTTCTTCCTTCTGCTTCCAAAATTCTTGTTACCCTAGATGATCACGTAAAAAGTTAAAGGTAAAAAATTAACATGTAGAAAACATCATCACAACAATTCCCAGCTGAATTTTTTCCATATGGAATTTTTGTAAATTAAAATTACCAACTAAATCCAAGATCAGCAAGTAGCTGCCAAGTGATGAAGAATTTAAACTCTAAAGCAACTATGTAATTAATCTGGCAACTTAACCCTGTAATTCAAACCTAGTAGAACAATTTAGAGGTGAAAAATCCTATTAATTTTAATTTATGATATGGGAATGATACAATTATAAGATATAATGATATGCCCACATTATAAATTTGTGTGTATTTTTTGTTTTTTGGAGTTTCTTGGTCACCTCTTCCAAGATCAAGAGGAAAACAATAATTCATTTAAATTAGGAACTGGGCACAGTTTTTAAAAAAATTCAACAGTATGTTTCCTTTATATGGTATTACAGTAAATGCTCTATAAAACTATTAGCTGAAGCCTTAGATAAGAATAAGGTCTGTTTTGAGAATAGCATTTATCACTGCCCCAAAGAGTTCAGAAAATATCGCAGATTTTAAGATATTTAGCTTGGACATCTATAGATAACTATGAAAAAAATGTTCCTTGAATTTTAAAAAGGCAAAGTAAATTTTTCTCCACCTGCTAAATTATTGTACTTCTTGCATGAGAATGTCACTCACGTTTCCTAAAATGATAACTTTGAGTTTACATTAAACCTTTCCCACCTAAAAAGTACAGATATTAGTGGAATATTCACTAAGTAAAATGAAAATATTACCTGGTTTCTAAGGCACACTGTTAGTTATACCATCTCAAGTGGGATTAATTTGATTAACTGCATTGCTCTCAGAACATTTGCAACTCAGGTAGAAAGAGGAAGTATCACATAACATGTTTAGTCTGTTGTCAAAAAAGATATTTCAAGTAAAATATGTCAATCCTCGCACCTGAAATCACTTAGACATTACTAACGTGCTATTTGGAAGAGTTTCTGTAGAGAAGGTTTTTTAGACTGACATACAATACTTAGTGCTTTAGAGGGTTGGGTAAACTCTTTTGTTCAACAATGTCTCATGTCCACTGCATTAAGCTTGGTCTCCAGTTCCACTATCCAATGCCTGCTTCACATTAAGTCGTACTTCGTTGGTACCACATAAAGTAATTACATTATAAAAGGCCTCTAGGTCACTGGATTCAAATGTAATAGCTGGTTTCATTAATGTTCCAGGAGCAAGAGAAGCCTCTCCAATAATTCTCAGGTTGATAAATTTGATTTTCCAAGTATTTTCCACAAAGGGGCAGCGTATGAGTCCAAAAATTTGTTCAAAAATGCCCAAACAAGTGTTCTCTCGGTGGACAGTCCCAGCAACTCCAACCATAACTAGACCATGGGGAGAAGAAGCACATTTCAGTCCACGGGAATCTAGGTTAGGACTGAGAAAAAGATATTCTTCTTTCACTAGTGACAGCAGACGAAGGCTCACAATTTCTGCTCCACAGTAGTCTATCACATTTTGTTCAGAGGTATTATAATAAAACCTAAGCTTGACATCATGCCAGAAGTGCTGAGGCCCCCATTCATCTTGAGGTGGTCCCAGAAAAGGATTCTGAGAATTAAGAAGTTCAAAGAACCAGTGACAGAATTCTTCTCCTAATCGACGAAAATCAACTTTTTCAGCTTTTTTATCTTCTTTTTCCTGCTGATTAAGATAAATATCAAAAAAAACCATGGTTAGTTCTCTTTAGCTTTTTTTTCTATCTGGCCTGTTTTAGACCTAGTTTTAATATGCTGAGTATAGCAGAAGCTGAGCAAACTACAAGTGAACTCACTGAACACATCATACACAATAAATTGTCTTTCCAAAAAGGGGAAAAAATTATTTTAGAATCTCCCTACATAAACATCTGAAAATTCAGCTACAAAATTAAGGGTTTGTTTGTTTTTGTTTTTTAAGATTTTATTTATTTATCCACAAGAGACACAGAGAGAGAGAGAGGCAGAGTCCCAGGCAGAGGGAGAAGCAGGCTCCATGCAGGGAGCCCGACGTGGGACTCGATCCTGGGTCTCCAGGATCACGCCCTGGGCTGAAAGCAACACTTAACCGCTGAATCACCCAGGCTGCCAGAAATTAAGGTTTAACAAAGCCTCTCAAAATATCAGCATGACCAGTCCAACAATGATTTACATAAGTATTTTCTCTTGATTGTGGCAGTGGTTTCACAATGTCTATCAAAACCTTCAAACCATATGCTTTAAATGGATACACTGTGTTGCATATAAACTACACTAAAATAAAGTTGTTAACAAGCATTTTTTACTAACTTTAAACAGGGTTTTAGTACGATTGAAATGTTACTTTTTATGACTGGAATTAATTTTATACTGTTCACTCTCCTTCTCTTAAAGAGAAATGTTATTGCAAAAATAGAAACTATTTCCTTCTATCTTCACAAACCTTGTGACATAAATACTATCGTTATTATGCCTGCTTTATAAATAAAGTAAACAGGCTCAGGAAAGTCCAATTCTTTGCTCAAGTTCACACCAATATACACCAGCAGACCCTTTTTGAAGTCACATCTGTATGATTTCAGAGTCAACATTCTCTTTAGCAAATTAAGCAAGCTCTTTAAAGATCCCTTCCTGATGTGAAAGGAAATGCATCTCACTGTAAAACCTTATTAATTCAAAGTATGTAGTTTAAAGTTTGCAAATTACCTAGAGTTCAAACAATTGAACACTTACCTAAATTATCACACAAAATCTAAAATGTGCAGTGGATACAAAGAAATAGAAACAGACAATGTCAGCTGGAGGAAGTTACTACAAGATGTTTTTTCCTAGCTTAAAATAAATCAAATGTAAAAAAATATTTAAGTTTCTCTCATGGAATTTTTACAATTTAATACCAAAGAAAAACCTCAAAAATGAGAAAGGGCTTACGATAGCATTCTTTTTAATATTACACAGAACTAGAAGCTAAATTAAAATTAAATGGATCCTGCGGTCTATTCGCTTGCCTTACAAACCCAATAGTCCTCATTTGATAAAGTGATAAAAATATTTTATTTTCCTCACAAATCAATACAGCATTTTATATTTATTACTAAATGTCAGAAATATTTTCTTTCTTTTAGGTGCTTTACTGGTCTTCTTTTAGGATGCAAAGGATATGAAGTAAAGCTAAATTATAAAAACCAAAATATTATTAGCCATGTTCCCACAGATGTTAGATTATCTAAAGAGTTTACACAGAACTATGATTTAGGGTATAACTATAAGTTATTTTACCTGTTGAAACAGTCTAATGTCCTCTGTCTTAACTGGCTCTGGTGTTTCCTTCAATTTCGGTTGTGATTGCTTTTCCCAGTAATCCTTTGCATGCTGAATAAGATTGTGTTTTTCAGTAGCTGGAGGTACAATAACCCCCTGTGTTGCCAAGTACTTAAATATGACTTCTCGGTGGACTTTCTTACGCCTCAAAAGTTCTTCTACATTTTGACTGTATACTAATATTGCACGAATGGCATCTAGAAGGAAATTATAAAGATTAGTAAAAAATCATAAATTGCTTGTAAATCTGTCCAGCGTCAGCAGAAATCCTATCAAATAATATTTATAAATTCTTGTCACAGCATTATTGTTCTTGCATGAGATGGCAATTTTTAAAAACCCGGGAAGTGGGTTGTCATGTTTTGGATTTACGAAAAAATTTTCTCTATGCTTTAAAGTTCCCTAAACTTACTTACCTCTTCTCCTTTCACTTCTCATAAGGTAGTAAAATTTTTGCATTTTCTTTTAAAGAACGACATGTTTCATAAGAAAAAAAAATTGAGCCAGTTTTGTTTCTAAGAAGGCCAATGGACCTAAATACATTTATAATCCATAATATAGGTAAAATTACAGCAGTTTAGACACTCAAGGACGTTTAATCTCCTTATACTGTAGATAATGACAATTGAGGGTATATGAGGTATCAACAGTCATGCTTCTAAGAAGTGACAGAAGACTTGTATTCTTTTTTTAATTTAAAAAAGTGTTATGTTTAACAACAGATCAAAGTTTTTAACATGCATGAAGTACGCAATAGCAAAGAAATGAACTCTCATGTACACACCACATAGCTTAAGACCTAAGATATTACTAGTATCTTTGAGGCCCTCATTTTAACCCTCCCTACTTAATACTATTCCCTCTCTCGACTCACCCGTCTTAGAGGTAGCTGCTATCCTAAACGTCCTTTATCATTCCCTTGCTTTTCTTTATGTTACACAGTAGAACTATGAACTCCTAAACAATAGTTTGGTACTTTTTGAACACTCTATAAATCCAATCCATCTCTCTCTATATATATATATATTCTTTCATGGTCAGCCTTTCACTTAATGTTGTTTGACATTAATCTGTGGATTATATGTGGCTGTAGCTAATTTTTTTCACTGTTAATGCATTTACCCATATTGCAGTGAATTATAAGACTACACCACAAGGTATCTATCCTTCTGTGTATAGATTTTTATTGGTTGTGCCCAATTAAAATACTGTTCTTTGAACATTTTCATAAATGTCTCCCAGTGCACAGAAGGCCAAGCAGCACAAGGATCATCTGAGAGCTTGTTAGAAATGTTGAATTTCTCGGCTCACCCCAAAACTACTGAATCACAATCTGCATTTTCGTAAGATCCCTGAGGGATTATTGATTCACAGGCACATTGAAGCTTGAAAGGTCAGGTCCAGAACATAAGCCCAAAAGTAAGCAAATATTCCATTTTTGGAGATAACGTCAAACTTGCTTTCCAAAGTTCTAATTTACACCCCTCCGGTACTTGTCAAAGAGCTGCTTTGCATGATCACCATCACTTGAAGTTTATGTGTTTACTTTTTGGCCACTCTGGTAGATTAAAGGAAAAAAAAAAAGCAAAGCAAAACAAAACAAAAACAACACTGTCTTTTGGTTTTCTTGCATTGCTTCTTAAAGAGGTTACCTTTTCATAATAAACAAAGGGATTGTTACCGGTTCATATGCTCACTGATTATTTTCTTCTTCTCTAAGAAGTATCTCTCCAAATCATTTAACGTTTCTATACTGGGAAGTTTCTTTTTATTTACTTTTAGACCCACCATCAATTAAATCCAACATTTTTAGGTATTACAATTTTAAACTTAAACTCACAATAACTCTTAGGTGGTGATTAGCATGTGAAACACATAAACCCTTAAGAACTATATTAAGTCTAAAAGTATCTGCGTTCTAAATTTTTAGAAATTCCTTTTAAGGTTTGAAGAAATAATAAAAAGTCTCATATGAATGGTTTTCTTAAATGGCAAAAATGTATATGCAACTTAAAAGCAGAGAAATACAGATCATGCTTTTTTAGTTATCAACTAACATAGGAGTCTGGAGTTCTCACATTTCAAAGTTAAAATTCAGCAAATTTAAAACGAAACTGTCCGACGGTACGCCAAGTGAGATAAACACGCTTCCTGATTACATTTTTATTAATGAATATCAATGACCCTTTAGATCTGGCTCCGAAAGAAATGTGTCCCTCCTACACAGAATCGTATCTGAAGGAAACTGGATGCAAACCACCAGGTCTTTGATCACCACGGGCGTGGGACCTGCGAGGCTCAACGTGTTCACGGTGCCCCCAGGCTCCAAGACTCCGAGCACAGCAGCGGACGCCTCAGCTCGGCGGAGACGAAAACGGGAACACTCCGCTTCCCCAGGGATTCTGACAAGACTCCGCGAACTGCCGATTCCCGAACCCTGAACCCCGAACCCTCTGCTGGGCCTTCCGAGGTCCAATCTGGAAGCGGCGCCTTTCCGCGCGGCCCCCAGCCCCAGCCCCGCCCCACCCCTACCCTCACCCCCAGTCCCCGCCCCCCCTCCCACCCCCACCCCCGGGCCGCCCCCAGTCCCCAGGGCTCCGGCGCTTCCCGGCCGCCCCAAGGTGCGCGCTGGGGCCGGGCGGCGGGCGAGAGCGGACGGGACCCGCCCCCCCCCCCCCCGGGGCCCGCACCTCCTCTGCTGCGGCCCCGCCGCCCGCGCCCGAGCGAGCCTGGGGAGGAGCGTCCGCCTCGGCGACAGGAGGCCGCGTTACCTTGGCGGTCCTCAGGCTGCACCAGGCGGTTGGTGATGGTGTCGCACAGGGCCAGGATATCCTCGTTGTCCAGGAGGCCGAGCAGGTTACGACAGCCCTCCATCTCTGGGTGGCTGAGCCCCGACATCGCGGCCCCACAACGGGGAGACGGCGACCCCGGGACGTCGTCCCTCCAGCCCGACTCGGCCGGCGCCTGGGCAACACACCCCGGAAGTGCCTTTCCGGGTCGCTGCCAAAGGGCCTCGGGTACTGCAGCCCCCGGGCGGAAGTGACTGCCGACAAGGTCGGTCCGGAAACGCGGTGCTCCGACTCTCCGTTCCGGGCTGGAGCGGAAGGGGCGGGCTCCAGCGGCTCTCGCTCGGGGAAGTACCGGCGCGTCCGCTGCGGCCCGGTGCCCGGAGCGGAGCCTCCGACTCTGCCCTGAGCCCTGCGGCGCGGCCGGCGGGCGGGAGGCGGCGGTCCCTGCGCGCCGCGGGCGCTGCTCCCCGCCGTGGGCGTGACCCGGGCCGCCGCCGCGCCGAGCGCCTGGGGCTCGTAGCCTCGAGTCACCCGAATAACTTGGCGCCGTTTAGCGTCGTGCCCGGAAAGCGACCCCGGGTCCGGCCAGCGCCGCGGAGCCTCCCGCCGTCGGGTGCAGCCGTCTGGGCGCGGCTGGGGCTCCAGCCGGTGCCCGGGCTCTGCTCCGCCCTCCCGACGCCAGGACCTGCCTCTGGCCGCCCCGCCCCGCCTCGGAGGGGGGCCTCGGGAGCGGACCTGGAGGGGGGGGCCTGGGGGGGACCTGGAGGGGGGAGGCCTCGGGAGGGGACCTGGGGGGGGCCTCGGGAGGGGACCTGGAGGGGGGGCCTCGGGAGGGGACCTGGAGGGGGGGCCTCGGGAGGGACCTGGAGGGGGCCTCGGAGGGACCTGGAGGGGGGCCTCGGGAGGGGACCTGGAGGGGGGGCCTCGGGAGGGGACCTGGAGGGGGGGCCTGGGGGGGGACCTGGAGGGGGAGGCCTCGGGAGGGACCTGAGGGGGGCCTCGGGAGGGGACCTGGAGGGGGGGCCTCGGGAGGGGACCTGGAGGGGGGCCTCGGGAGGGGACCTGGAGGGGGGCCTCGGAGGGGACCTGGAGGGGGGCCTCGGGAGGGGACCTGGAGGGGGCCTCGGAGGGGACGGGGGGCCTCGGGAGGGGACCTGGAGGAGGGGCCTCGGGAGGGGACGGGGGGGGGCCTCGGAGGGACGGGGGGGCCTCGGGAGGGGACTGGGGAGGGCCTCGGAGGGACGGGGGGGACCTGGAGGAGGGGCCTCGGAGGGGACGGGGGGACCTGGAGGAGGGGCCTCGGAGGGACCTGGGAGGGCCTCGGAGGGACGGGGGGACCTGGAGGGGGGGCCTCGGGAGGGGACGGGGGGGGACCTGGAGGAGGGGCCTCGGGAGGGGACCTGGAGGAGGGGCCTCGGGAGGGGACGGGGGGACCTGGAGGGGGGGCCTCGGGAGGGGACCTGGAGGGGGGGGACCTGGAGGGGGGAGGCCTCGGGAGGGGACCTGGAGGGGGGGCCTCGGGAGGGGACGGGGGGGACCTGGAGGGGGGAGGCCTCGGGAGGGGACCTGGAGGGGGGAGGCCTCGGGAGGGGACCTGGAGGAGGGGCCTCGGGACGGGACCTGGGGGGGAGGCCTCGGGAGGGGACCTGGAGGGGGGAGGCCTCGGGAGGGGACCTGGAGGAGGGGCCTCGGGAGGGGACCTGGAGGGGGGAGGCCTCGGGAGGGGACCTGGGGGGGGGGCCTCGGGAGGGGACCTGGGGGGGCCTCGGGAGGGGACCTGGAGGGGGGAGGCCTCGGGAGGGGACCTGGGGGGGGGCCTCGGGAGGGGACCTGGAGGAGGGGCCTCGGGAGGGGACGGGGGGACCTGGAGGAGGGGCCTCGGGAGGGGACGGGGGGGGGCCTCGGGAGGGGACGGGGGGGGGCCTCGGGAGGGGACCTGGAGGGGGAGGCCTCGGGAGGGGACGGGGGGGGGGCCTCGGGAGGGGACCTGGAGGGGGAGGCCTCGGGAGGGGACCTGGAGGGGGGGCCTCGGGAGGGGACGGGGGGGGGCCTCGGGAGGGGACCTGGAGGGGGGGCCTCGGGAGGGGACCTGGAGGAGGGGCCTCGGGAGGGGACGGGGGGGGGCACCTGGAGGAGGGGCCTCGGGAGGGGACCTGGAGGAGGGGCCTCGGGAGGGGACGGGGGGGGCCTCGGGAGGGGACCTGGGGGGGAGGCCTGGGGGGGACCTGGAGGGGGGGAGGCCTCGGGGGGGGGGGGGACCTGTGGGGGAGGCCTCGGGAGGGGACCTGGAGGGGGGGCCTCGGGAGGGGACCTGGAGGGGGTCCTCGGGAGGGGACGGGGGGGGGCCTCGGGAGGGGACCTGGGGGGGACCTGGAGGGGGGGAGGCCTCGGGGGGGGGGGACCTGGAGGGGGGGAGGCCTCGGGGGGGGACCTGGGGGGGAGGCCTCGGGAGGGGACCTGGAGGGGGGCCTCGGGAGGGGACCTGGAGGGGGGCCTCGGGAGGGGACCTGGAGGAGGGGACCTGGGGGGGGGGCCTCGGGAGGGGACCTGGAGGGGGGCCTCGGGAGGGGACCTGGGGGGGGGCCTCGGGAAGACGCCGCCGCGGAAGATCGGGCGCGGCGGTGCGGGCGGCGGCGCTGGTCCCGGCGGGCGTCCCCAGGAACCAGGCTTCCCGGGGCTGCTCGCTTCCTTCGCGCCTCCACACCTGCGGGGCCTGGGCTGTAACTCGGAGGAGAGCGCTGCTGGGCGGTACATTCGGGGACATCTGCAGCGCAGGCCCTTTCCGTGGCGTCTCCACACCTGTTGAGACAGGTTGTCCCTCCCTCGTGTGAGAGGGCAGGACTAGGGCTATGGGTTAGGGTTAGGATGGGTGGGGTAGGGGTTAGGGTTAGGGTTCAAGGTTAGGGGGTTAGGAGGTGGGGGTAGTGTTGTGCCCAAGATTGCGAATCCGAGAAACCACCGAGGAGCCGACACCGACGCAAACACACGAGGGTTTGTTACAAGCTCGGGTTGGGTCCAAGTGCGCCCGACACAGCGGAGCAGGGACTTGGGCCCCGAGACCACGAGGCGAAGCAGCTTCACAGGGGCCGCTGGCCCGTGGGATACGCAGAAAGTTGCACAGTCACGTCGGTGCACAGCGGGCGGCCGACTGAATCCCACCTTAGCCTCTAGTATCCACTTGAGCTGGCCTAGTGCTGCGGTCAGAATCGCCGCAGTCTTGGCGGGCACAGAGCAGGGTCACGTCGTTAGGAGCCGGTTTCCGACGAGGGTGTGCCCGGCGGCTCGACTCGGGTGGGGCAGCGCCTTAAGCAATAAGGCGTACCTGCTGTCGGTGTATATGTTTATTCATTTACACTCCCCCGTGGTCCGCGCCTTGGCCATTGCGGTCAGTTCTGCCCGTTGAGCCAACATTCAGGCTGTCAATGGCTCCGCCCAGAGGTCTCCGTTTCCGTGGTTACGGCTGCCCCCGCGTACCTGACTCCTCGGACAAAACTGCTGCCGTCCGCGTACCAGGTGACGTCCTCATTCGGCAGTGGCTGGTCCTGGAGATCAGCTCTGATTCCGTACACCTGTGCCAAAATTTCTTGACAGTCATGCAGAGGGGGGGTCCCAGTCTGGGTTAGGGAGTAGCGTTGCCAGATTCAGGGTTGTTGGTGGCTTAAATAAAATTTTGATAGGATTTAGCAGCAGGCTCTGATAATGGGTCATATGGGCATTGCTGGTCCAGCGGTCTGGGGGCTGTTTGAGTACCCCTTTAATAGCGTGTGGGGTCGTAACATGCAGTTCTTCCGGACTTTTTCTTTTATAGACTCGTTCTGCTATTATCACTAAGTCCTGCAAGCTCTTCTCTCCCAGTCTCTCTACTCTTTGCAATTTCTTTTTAATGTCCGGAGCGGCCTGGTTAACAAAAGCCATGATAATTGCGGCCTTTGTTTCCGGGGCTTCTGGGTTCATTGGGGTGCACTGCCTAAAAGCCTCTATGACTCTAAGAAGGCTGCTGGACTCTCGTCCTTACCCTGTCTCACGTCACAGACCTTGGCCAGATGGGTAGGCTTGCGCGCGGCAGCCTGGAGACCTGCCATTAGAGTCTGGCCGTAGACCCGGAGTTTCTCCTTACCTTCAGCCGAGTTGTGCGCTTTGGGGAGTAAAAAGGGTTTTAGCCAAGGAGGGGAATTCTCGATCATGTCCTGCCAGGCCAGGATGTTGGGCATCTGGTCAGGGTGGCCATCTGGTTTGTCCCTGAAGATCACGGCCTTAACCTGTAAGATAATAGGTAGGTGAAAAGTTCCTTCTCGGGGCCATCCCACGTCAAAGGTTGGCCATTCTGAAATGCGATAAATTTGGAACCTCTCTCTCCATGTCTATGCTCAGAATACAAGCTCTTTCCCTAACATCCGAGAACTGGGAGAGCATAAGAGACGAGTGGTTTCTGTCTCCCCCCATTATGTCCCCAATCCACACCAAGACACAGACAGTAAAAACAATTAACAAGGACCCAACAACACAGACAAATGCACAGTTAACAAGAACACAATAACACAGACCAGCCCACAAACAGGTAACAAGAACACAGTAACAGACAAATGTTCTACTGCGGCTGAGGAGACAAGACAGAAAGCAATCCAAAGGGCTGGCAGCTGGCTCTCCTTACAGATGAGGACCCCCGTCCTCCTTACAGATGAGGACCTCCACCCTCCTTACAGATGAGGACCCCGTCTTCCAGGCAGTGGCAAGGGACGTCTCCTCAAGACCCCCAGTCGATGGCCCGCCAATGTGTCCACCTAAGCTAATGCCGACCTAAAACAGATTGGAATTCCCACAGGTTCAGGTTACAGCTCTCTGAAATCGCTGGATTGAGCTTGGAGACACTAGTCTTGTGGGCCTGCACCTTCCACTTACCTCTCACACCACTCCAGTCATGCATCGAACCTAGGCCTGTTAGGAGTGCAGTGTACCTGCAGTCAGCATGTGGGAGGTACAGCCCATAAGCTCAACTCTCAGAAGTATGTGTGCTTTGCACGCAGATGTTGCTAGCCACTCATTATAGGAGATAAAACCTAGCATGATCTAACTGAAAAAGGCTGTTGGAAATCGCTGTATTGAACTCAGATGCACGTGAGTACAGGCCTGACACTTCCACATGCTTTCCACACAACCCCTTCCAGCACCTAAGATGAGGATGTTAGGAGCTATGTGTACAGGCAGTCAGGATGCAGGAGGGTTCTGCCCTGAGCTCAGCTCTCACAAGGAAGCATGCCTAGAAGCCAGCTTTCAACTAGCTGCATTCTTACAGCAGTTAGAAAGTAGCAGCATTCTAAGTCGGGAGATTCCATGAATACCACTCTACTGCACCTGGAGACACCTTCCAAGCCTGCATTTTTCCACTTGCGTCCCATGATCTTCTGACAAACATCTCTAGTGAGGATGTTCGAAACTCAATCGGCAGGCAGTGTGGAACTGTGAGGGACTGTGTGTGAGCTCAACTCTCAGAACCAAGTTCCCTTCAGACACTGCCTTCAGCTAACTTCTCATGTATTGAACTTAGTATGTAGCACCAATCTAAGAGAGCAATTCCTCAGATATCTCTGTATT